AAGCGTTATGAGGTCTCCCGGATGAGCACCCCACCATGTGCCGCAAATTGAACGGAGAAAGTTGATCCTCTGCTGACATTTTTGCTTCAAATACGTAATATGGGTATTCCAAGTGCACTTTGAATCAAACCAGACCCCAAGGTACTTGAAAGACAATGATTGAGTAATGTTTCTGCCCAAAAGATTAAGTTGCATTTGGGCTGGGTACCGCTTTCGAGTAAACACTACCAGTTCAGTTTTCTGCGGCGAGAATTCGATCCCTAGATTTCTAGCCCAAGAAGACAAGTTATCTAAGGAACTTTGCAATGGTCCTTGCAAGTCCATGGCATGTGGACCTCTTACGGAAACCACACCGTCATCTGCAAGTTGTCTTAGCGTGCATTGTTCTGCCAAACAGTTGTCGATATCTTTGACATAAAAGTTATAAAGAAGAGGGCTGAGACATGAGCCTTGGGGTAGGCCCATGTAGCTAATTCTGGAAGTTGTCAGTTGTCCAAGGGAAAAGTTCATTTGCTTTTCTGACAACAAATTGTACAAGAAATTATTTAAAATTCCAGAAAGTCCACATCTGTGCAGATTGTCTGACAGAATTTCAATGGAAACTGAATCAAAAGCCCCCTTAATGTCCAAGAATACTGAAGCCAATTGCTCCTTGTGCGCAAAGGCCAGTTGAATATCTGTGGAAAGCAGCGCTAGACAATCGTTTGTTCCTTTGCTCTTGCGGAACCCAAACTGTGTATTTGATAGCAAGTTATTTGATTCGACCCAGCGATCGAGTCTCCGAAGGATCATTTTCTCCAACAATTTCCTAATGCACGAAAGCATCGCAATCGGACGGTATGAGTTATGGTCAGACGCTGGTTTGCCAGGTTTTCGAATGGCTATTACTTTGACCTGTCTCCATTCAGGCGGTATAATGTTGTTTTCTAGTAAGGAATTGAATAAGTCTAGCAAGCGTCTTTTAGCGATATCTGGGAGATTTTTCAGAAGATTGAATTTAATCATATCGCTTCCCGGTGAGGAGTTGTTCGATGAAAGAAGAGCCATAGAGAATTCCAGCATTGTGAATGGTCTATCCAGAGAGCTGCCGCTCGGAGACGCTTCTCGAAGAATGTGTTGTGCTGGAGCTGAGTCCGGACAGACCTTTTTAGCGAAATCGAATATCCATCGGTTGGAGTATTCTTTACTCTCATTAGAAGATGAGCGGTTACGCATGTTCCGAGCCACCCTCCACAAGGTGTTCATTGAGGTTTCTCGTGAGAGTCCCTCGACGAAATTGCGCCAATAACCGCGTTTCTTTTCTTTGACTAATTGTTTCAGCTTTGTCTCAAGCTTTGAATATTCCTCGAAATATGTGGAAGTTTTGTGTCTACGAAAAGCTTTGAAAGCATCAGATTTTTCTACATACAATTTTGTGCATTCTTCGTCCCATCCAGGTGTGGCTGGTCTCCTTTTGAAGGGCGCACTTGGAACTTTTCTTTTTTGTGCTTCCAGTGAACTTTTGTATATCAAATCGGCGAGGAACCGATATTCTTCCAATGGTGGAAGCGTATCTATTGATTCGACACCGATTGTCACCGCCGTTGCATATTTATGCCAATCTATGTTCCTTGTAAGATCAAATGGAACTCGAGATGGTTCTGCAGAGTGAGGGGCACACTTAATTGAAATGATGATTGGCAGATGATCGCTACCATGGGGATCATTGATAACCTTCCACAGACAATCCAGTGATAGCGATCTTGAACACAAAGATAAGTCGAGTCGGCTTTCTCGAGCCGGAGGTTTTGCTATACGCTTCACCAGTGTTCAAAATAGTCAAGTTGAAATCGTCGCATAAATCGTAAAAAATAGCCGCTCTATTGTCATCATACAGATCGCCCCACCCAGTACCATGGGAGTTCATATCACCCAGAAATAATACTGGGGATGGAAGAATCGAAACTAGATTCCAGAGTTGACTACGGCTAATGGAGGTTCTTGGTGGAACGTATACTGAAGCTATGCAAAGATTTTTGTTTTTCACATTTATTTGGCAAGCGACGATTTCGACGCCTGATAGAGCAGGAAGGGAAATTTTGTAGAAAGGGTAGCACTTTTTGATCCCTAAAAGTACTCCTCCATAAGAATCGTCTCTATCCAGGCGAATAATGTTAAAATCGTGGAAGTTGAGTTCTTTATCGGAAGAAAGCCATGTTTCACAGAGAGCAAATATATCACAATCAGAATTGTGAAGTAAAAATTTGAACGAGTCTAGCTTAGGCACTAGACTACGGCAGTTCCACTGTAGCACAGTGATCATATCTTCAACCTCGTTCGACGAATTATCCATCGAAAGATATGATTGATGCAAGGAGGGGCCATGAAACAGTCAATTGCTTAAGATATGATTCTAATGTTGGAAGCAAGGCAGAAACTAAGCTTCTTAGAGGGTCTTGTATGTTGAACATGTTTAATATGAATTCCACAATGTCCGAAAAAGCTAGCAAACCTCGTTCGGACTTGGATTTCTTTTGAGAAGTTTGAGGAGCAGCTTTTTTGTTTTTCTTATCTTTGTTGGGTAATGGCGGAAAATCCTTACTGCAGCCAGGAAGTGGAGCAGTAGGAGCCTTCGATTTAATTTTTTCATCCCCATTACCCTGGGAATTTTGCAATCCTCTGGGAGTGACTTTAGTTTTCTTACGGCGCACTTTCGGGGAGGACCATTTTCGTTTTGAGGATCCGTTCGTTTTCAAAGGTGCGTGTACCACCGTAGAGTCACCCTCATCGGATGAGTCAGAGTCCGATTCTTCAGCTGACAAAATCGAAAATTGATTTTCATCTTGGACGGCTGATGCAGCCTTCACCATTTGTGCATATGACTGCTTGGAGCGTCCAGAGATTGAACGCTGCACTTTATCGGAGTGCTGCTTGTACATCGGGCACTCCTGCAAGGGGTGAGGATTCTCGCCACAATAAGCGCATTTTACTGATTCTTTGTGGCAAGAATCCTCTTTGTGGTTTTCACCACATTTGCCACAACGAGTTTTGTTGCCGCAATGGCTGGCCGAGTGTCCCAGCCTTTTGCAGTTGGTACAATTATATACCCTCTGTACAAACAACCGCACCGGAAAAAAAGCACCATCAACTTTAACAAAGTTTGGGAGAACTGAACCAGCGAAAGTCACCCGAAACGAGTCTGAATGCTGATAAACTTTTATGCCATCTTGCAAAGATACTGAATGCAGTTGCCTGACATCCAGTATCTGTACCTGATCTCCGATTTTAGAGTTTTTGAAGCAACCCGATGCTCGTTTTAAGTCCGCGACACTCAGACTCGCGTCGGAGACCACACCTTCTATCTCCACATCTCGAGAAGGGATGTAGATGTTGTACTCAACACTAAACAGCTCATGTTCAGCAATTTTATTTGCCACATCATAAGTCGGTGCTTCTACACGCAGTTTATTGAATCTCTCTTTATGTACCAAGATTCCCGGATACTTACGCAGCAAGTCTCTTGAAATGTCGAGAGTTTTCAAAGGTTTATTTTTAGGCCGAAAAAAGACAACCCATGGTCCTTTTGAAGACGGTTGATAGTATCTAGTTCGCGCAACGTAGGTATCTGAAGACGCCATAAGTGTTGCGCAAACGCGGTGCACAACCGCTTAAAAAGGAAAAAAAATACTTCAAAAAACCTTCACCAATTAATCTACTTAACTACTAGTTGTTAATATTTTGTTGCCCAGTGTATGAACAACCAAGCAAAACAATAACAAAATTATCAAAAAAAAAAAAAAACACTTTTTATTAGTTGCAAGAAGTTGCACCACTATAGCCCTCACAACCCTATCAGGGGAGAGGGCAAAGCCACGCGCAAAATTCTATAACAAAAGCGCGGCAATGGGCTAGAGAAGACTATTGTATAGTATACTTAACACCGGCCGTTGCCGGCTGTGTGAGCTGGTGCAGCCACTCCGTTTGCTGCTTTGTTGTTGTTGCTTGCTGCTTTGGAGTGGTGATGAGACGATGACGGTGAGATGATAGTCCACCTATAGCGTCGCTAAAGGTGGCTACTTCCTCTGCTGACTGCGGTTGCCTTGGGCACTGAACTTCGTCCACGGTAGGTAAAACGCGCGATATAAAAAAACCACTATGGTGGGAAAAAAAACTCCACCGGCTACGAAACCAATACCCGCAACGGAGACACGAACAAACTACGTCCGGCTACTTCAAGCTATCGGCGAGGAATGACACGTAATGGTTACTCGATGTCCTTTTTTAATTTGGTTGACAATAAAAGTAAATGCGTTAATTACCTGCCAGTGTCGTGAATACGTCCTGTTCCAAAGCTTTTGACAATTCCTCCATTTTCCGCTGACCCACCGCTGACACTTTTACAAAAATAATCCGGGACCGGGAACTGAATTAAAACGCTGCTTTTCCAATGAACGCTGTTTTGAAAATGGCGACACGTCGCGGCATAAATTTTCTTTTCTCAGCGGGGACTACTTTTTACACATTTTTGTTCGTCGTTGACGTACTCGAAAATGCATAAAAAGTACTCTTCATTTGTAACTAAAATCTAAACATTTTTTGACGTATAAACCGTATTCTCGAAAATGTGTAAAACATAGTCATAAAAGGAGAATTCTAGAATTACCGTGTATGCGATTTCCTCAAATTTGGGTATTGGGCTGAACCCCGGAATTGAGGGAAAAGTACTTAATTTTGGGTAGTTTTTCATCTCCGTGAGAAGCTACCGATAACGAAAAAAAATAATCTGTCCACCCTGTTTCGTACATGAATTCGAACTTCCGATAGAAAGAGATGTCAATATTTATTCTCTTCATGCTGTATTATTTTTGATAGGGTTTTTATGTGAGTATAAAGGAGGTAAGATTTTCTTCTCTGTTTTACGCACAAATTGAGGAGAAACTCTGTTGGAGTAAAGAGAGTTTCCTGGCCTGTCAATTTTGATAGCAACAGCAAACGGAAAACTAAAGGTGTTGCTGCTGACACGCGTTTTACAGGTTTTTATTCCAGTTAATTGTAATTAATGAAATATATTTGTTTTATTTAATGTTCGGTAGCCCGTGTATGGCAGACGTATACACAGTTTGCTGAAAGCTGCTGATTCCAGAGAACCATGTTTGTTTTATATGAAACTCCAGCTGGATATGCTATATTCAAGGTAAAATTGTACCTTTTTTTGTAATTGCATATTTGTTGTAATAGTTTAGTATGTGGTTTGTGCTGGTTAAGTTTAAAAGCATACATAAATTTAAGGAAAGTTACAAAATCAATGAATATTGGGATTTTGTTGGAAACGTGATTTAATAAGCTATACATAAAATCAAAACATTCCTTATTTATACGGTTAGTGAAAACAAAATCATTTTATTCCTTGATCCGGTTGATACGAAAAAAGAAGCTAAATTTGACATGTTTGCTGATAAATGTAATTTGCGTGGGCCATAAACGTAATAATCAGGTTATTTTGAACCGTGCACGTGCAGTCACATCGAAAAAGCGTTTTATAAAAATAATGTTTAATATCTGGTTTTACTTGCAGCTTCTGGACGAAAAAAAACTCCAGGAAATCGATAACCTCTATTTGGAATTCGAATCTCCAGAAAAGGCCAACAAGGTGTAAGTATATATATATCTTCCTTAATCCGTCCTTTTTTCTTCAAACCGATGATCCGTTCCGCATATCCATTTAAGAAAATATGGTATACGCTTTTATTGATCCATCGAAAAGTAAATATAAACCCTTCACTCAGCATTGTGTTAGTCAAAAATGTTGATTTTGATTTATAAACATTAACCTTTCCATAAATGTAATTTTCTCGACCATGCGTTTGAAGTAGGGGTGTTCTAATAAAAGCATAAGTCACATCTTTGCTTGATTTCCTATTAAAATAGGGCTACATTGAACCAACGAGAAATGTAAATTTCACCAGATAAATCAGGTGACCTTTAAAAAATATGAATCCATTAAAAAATACATGTTGCACATCAAATTCAATGGCATGGTAATGAATTCCGGTAGATTGACTGATGGGGATCAAGTATACTGGTAAATGTTAGGTGTAACTGTCGTGGCGTATTCGTTAATTCAGTTTGTTAGTTGTTGAGAGATGGAAATACGCGTTTGTTATTGCTACTTGGTTTGGAATTTTGTGCGTAAGTTTAATGAATATTAAACTAATTAATCCTATGGCCTCATTGGGGAAGTCGAAAAGAAGCGTTTTTTGTATGAAAAGTCGTTAAGATTAGTTGCATACATGCTTGGCATACACAGTTTTGGTCACGAACTGCTAATTTGCTAATAACTTTGCATACAGTTGACGTAACATAGTTCTTTTTGAAGTAGTAGACAGAATAGAGTTTAAGCTTTTTATAGATACGTAAAAAAACAGTAGACTTTAATTCTAGTAATAAATGAAGTGCTCGCTGCATATCTCGGACTTTAAGTGTAAAAAATCATTGATGTTGATTCAAATGTGTACTGTGTATTTATGTACTCTTTGCATATCTATAGTAAACTATGATTCTAATCTATCAATTTAAAGAAAAACAGTTTTAAACAACTGAGTGAAAAGTTATTAACAAATGAGCTGTTGGTGTCTACAACTGTGTATGTCAAGCATGGTTGCATAATGTGAACCCTTGAATTGCAATCCATATATAATAAACAAATACCATAAACGAACGTTAACCCGGATAGTAGAACAATCCCTCAAATGGTTTGGATGGTATCCCGAACGGTTCTGTGACACTACCCCGAATGTCACTACCCCGAACGCCGTTACCCCGAACGGTACACTACCCCGAACGCCGTTACCCCGAATAGTACACAACCCCGAATGACCATTACCCCGAATCCATTTCCTAAAGCTGTTTATTTTACTAATTATCTTTAGTTGGTTAAACACTGGTGCTATATTGTAATTAGAACAAAAAGTTAAACCTATGTATTAATTAACAACAGGGCGATTCCCGTCAAAAAGTCGAAGTGTTCGACGTTGTTTTCGTAGCTTCGAACAAGCTTTTCCAACTGCTCATCTCGCTGGATATCCTTTTTGCGTCGCTTAGTGGGTGGTTCGCCATTCAAAACGCGCAAAACTTCTACATTTGTGTTCCGCTCTTCTAACTTAAATTGACTCAAAACAGTATAGAAAGATGGGTTTTCTCTTTTCAATAACCCATTCCATTTAGAATGCCAGCCTTCGAGGTTATTAGATGTACGTTGTATATTAATCTCGGACGTTCTGATAGACAGACCACAGTGCGGGAGGGAATACTGGTCTACGCATGTTCTTCCTCTTGGCTGGTCCATGCACGTACGTATCATTGAAGTAGCGGAAGAAGTCTTTCATTACTTGGGGGCAACGTTTTTCCAGCTTATCAAATGCCGTTGGAACTTCTTGCGGTGGCAAGAAGGCTAAGGCTGTGACCTGCTTAAATGACAGCTCGGTTATCTTATCGTTACCATAATTCCGTTTCAGCCCCATTTGCTGTAACTTGCGGAACAGGCTTTGGTTAAAGTGAAAGTAACATCCGTGCATCGCTGTCCCAGGGAATGCTGCTTTGGCAGCATTAATTGCTGCAAGCTCAAAATCGATGAGGATTACTGCTGGATCTAACTCCATGTCATTTGCCTCCGCTATTTCACACAGTTCGGTAAACGCAGCACTATAGGTGCTCTCGTTTTTCTTAGGTAATAGCATGTACACTAAAGGAATGAACCTTCGAGAATTTGATTCACCAATATTGGCATGGATGGTGAAAATCTGCTTGAAGCTTCGCGGAGCAGTGATGAACGTACCATCCATGATCCAAACTGAAGCCTTTGAAATAAGGTTTAGCTGTTTTGGTGAAACGAAAATCAATATAGTGCCTTCGTCAGTCTTTTTTACACGCTGCAAGAACTGTTCGCCATCGGTAGTCGTTCGATATATTTCGTCGATGTCATCAAAATCATCTATGTCCACGGGATCGTTTGATGTATCTCCTTTTCTGCGTCGTTGAATAATTTTACGTTGGGCGTTTCGACTTATTGAAGCTTGAACCTATGAAAGGTTTTAATTCGGTTAGGTAAATTTGAAAATAATAACATTTGGGGTTATTCCGAGAGCCGAAGCGATTTTCGTCGTGGTGACGTGACTCTCCATTTGATTTGCAGAGAGACACGTCACCAAAACGTGACTTTTCTCACTTCGCTAGTGACAATAATCACTTCGACTCTCGGAATAACCCCTATTATATGAAGGGAAATTTGTGTCTGTATAGCATATACTCACATATGAGATCAAATTAACATTATTAAAATAATCAAAAAAAAATATATTACATATTTAAATAATTTAGACAAAATTATTGATTCTATGACATTTGGTGGTAAACTATTTCACGGTGTAGGCGGTTCTTTGTTAAATGTACAGAGTTTCTTTTATTAGTTAATTAATCAAAAAAGTTAATTCTTCTTTGGTAAGTTCCAACCGGTGTTATCCTTAGATTAAAACCCGATCAAGAACGTCCAACTGGTTTGATGTTGATACCGGAATTAATCAATACGATACTAAAAAAACATTTTGCAGATCATCCAATCAGGGTCGGCCTAACTATTAATGGGGTACCGCCTTTGGCATAAATCCACTTGGCATAACATAACTTAGCATGATGGTCGTTTGGCATAAAGGTCATTTGGTATAAAAGACGTTTGGTTATAATTATAACAAAAATAATACTACACACATTCATTACAATATTTGATAAATAGCTACACTGACGCTCAAACCATACTGACATTTCCGCCCAACTGGCATACTTTCAACAGAGATTTTCCCTTCTTTCAAACATGAGCTGTTCTTTCGAGTTTTATTGCTGCAGTAATTATTGGCGCTTTCTCACTGATCCTTATTTGTCGTGCAATGAATTAATCGAAAATTCTTTATTTATAATTACCTAACGAAATGTGTGATGCTTCCAATTTAACCATTTAAACCGCATTGAAATTTAAACGTATTCAATTGTTTTATGCCAGATTACTATCAAATGAAATGACCTTTATGCCAAATGCGGTAGCCCCCAGTCAATTCAGGTTGAAGCTAGTCGGTGTAACGGTTCTATCACATTCCCCAGAAAAGTATGCCATGTATTAGATTGATTATTTTTTGTTTATTATAGTCACTCCTGGAATCTTCCTTCGCATATATAAAAAGAAGAGAAAAACTTCTTAATGGGTCAAGGGGTTTTAGGAGACCTTAATGGATCAAAGGGTTTTCCCTTGTTTGAAAATATAAGAAAAGGAAATAATTAATTCTTTGGATATACGATAAAGAAGGGAATATTTCCTTCTTTGCATATGTATAAAAGAGAACATCATTAATTCGTTAAATATATGATAAAGAAGGGAATATTCCCTTCTTTGAAAATATAACAAAAGGAAATAATTAATTCTTTGGATATACGATAAAGAAGGAAATATTCCCTTCTTTGAATTTATAACAATATAAAATGACAAAAAAAAAAGTGATAAATTACTAATTTCATCATCTTTTCTGGGGAATGGTACATTCTGGGGAATGTTATAGAATCGGTGTAACTGGTATTATTAGCAGAAAAAACAAGCAGATTTTTTTCCAAAGGGATTATAATCCTTCACGCAGCGATCTGGGTGTATGAGATTCACATCTTCTGCATTGAAGTTTCCCTCTTTAGTGACACTTCAACAAATGGATTGAAAATATAATAATATTCCTTCATAATCGAATATTCTAAGATGAGAATATTCCCATTTTCCTTCTGAAAGAACTGCTCATATTCAAAAGAAGGAGAAATATCCAATAAAGATTTCTTTTCCCTTAATTTCTTCATGAGCTGTTCTTTCGTATTAAATTGAACCATAGTTCATGAAAAGAAGAAAAAATATCCATTTATTTTCTAAAATTACTTATTATTATTTTTAATCATGTTCTGGTCCAATTAAGTTTGAAAGAATAGCTCATGATCAAAAGAAGGAAAAAATTCCAATTACTGTTTATTAAATTACTTTTTCTCCTTCTACAATTACATTCCAGTGTTTAAAAGTATGAAAACCTCAAAACTCCAAAGAACTGCTCATGTCTAAAAAAAGGAAGAATTTCTGTTCTTATACATCCAACTGGTGAACATAAAATAATCATATCGCAAACAACTAAATCATTCAAATCAACATTACCAATAGTTGGAGACTTCGTCATCTGTCCGATGGTGGTATTACTTTGCGTGGAATATGTGACTGAAGTGAAAAAGTAAATTATCGATAGATGAGTTTAACCTGCGTTTTTTTGTTTGAAATTAATAAACAATATGATAAAACGGAAAACATCTCACATTTACGGTTATCCACGAAGTTATTAACCGCAAATGTTATTGGATCAAAATTTTACATACTGAGTATAATAGTTGAATATACTGTTTGAAAATGCAAAAAAAGTTATCAATATTCCACGCGCACAGTTAAGGGGGTGGAAATGAGGGATATTCACGCAGGGGGAGCTGTGGTTGCTAGCTGTGGAGCTACCTAAAAACTTATCGAAAAAAGTCCAAATAAAGTGTTTACCTACCTCTGGTGAAACCGCCACCGACACTTGGCGTATGATTTTCCCTGGTTTGTCTGTTGTTTCCATAGCTCTTTGTGTGATCTTTGATCTATAATCAGAGGAAGCAATCCTCAATGACGATGGCTCGTGATTATGCTCCTTTTTAACCATAATTTCAATCCTCTTGTCACTTTTCCGTGTGATGGCTCGACTTCCACATGGTCCAGCTAATCCTGGAGTTCTACGGAACTCGCAATCCCAATATTTGGCCTCTTCTGTCTAAAATTAATCATGATACATTTTACTACGTGAAAGCACCGAAGAAAGTTCATAATGGATAAATGTACTGTTACTTACTGTTTTGTTGAGATGATATGAAAACCCGTTGTGGCATAATTTAAGTTTTCCTTTCACAGTTCGGATCAGTTTTATATCATTAGTCCCTGATGACATAACCTCATTAGACGTAGCGTGGCTCTTTGCATTGTGAATGCCTTTGTTCTTTGCAGTCTGAGAACTGTTTTGAGCTTCACGACGAACAATCTTACGTCTCTTGAATCGACGTTGGCTGCATGATGGCTGTCCTGGCGAATTTGGGATTTCATCAGATGATAGATGTTTGGTCGTTGATGCCATAACCTCATCAGACTCAGCGTGACTCTTCTCATTGTGACTGGTTTTGTTCTTTGCGCTATCGATTTCGTCAGGTGATCGATGTTTAGTCGTCAATGATATCATTTCATCGGAGTCTAATTCGGATTCATACGTTTGTACAACGTTGCGCTTGAATACATGCCTTGGTTTATGCATCTTTTTACGACTGGGTGTTGACTCTTCGGATGAACTTGAGAAATTATCATAGTTTCCCGACTCGCTTTCCGATGGCAAATTGTCACCAGAATCCGATAATTGTGATACTAAGCGACGTTTGAGTGTAGATGTGTCCTTGCTGGTTGATGGTATCTGGGCATCTCCGGAAAAAAATGATTGGTCGATTTAATTTAAATTGGGTTTGGGTGATTAATGTTTTCGATCCAGATGTTTCGACATCAGAAAACCCATAAAAATCTTCAGAATCACTTGACTTCATTATCAGCACTGAAAAATTCTCACGAGAAAAGTACCACGCTTCTCCACTGAACGTTATAAAATGACAATTGAACCAGGCAGCATGCTTCTATTGCACCCCATTCATACTGCACTAATAGTATCATAACCTATACATCAAGTTTTCACTGGAAATAATATGTATGACATTTGATGTCAAGATAGTTCACTTTATATGACTGTATGTACTATGGTTCAAGATTATAGTCAATGTTTGCTATAAATAACAAAACGACGCATTTCCCTGTTCGATTGACTCGGATGCGCTCGCTCGCTCGCTCATTTTGGATAAAATGTATAAAGATTTATTAACTACAATGTGTAAAATTTATCGCGAAAATTATTATTGTGAGGATCCGCTTTTCTTAGTTCAAGATATTTGTGGACCTGTTTATTTGTGGCCCCAGTTTATTAAAAAGATAATCGCATCAAAAACATTGTGCTATAATGAGCGTCTAAAATTAACCACGTTTCTATACGTGAATGGATGGAGAGATCCGACAAGCTGGCTCAAGTTCATTGTTCGAATAAAAGGACCTAGTTTCGTGAAGTATGAAAAGGAAATACAAGGTTTGTATCAGTATTATCAGCAGGAAAATATACAATGCAAATATTTTTCATTTTGTGTTGTACATAAAATGTATGAATATCTCAACGGTGTTCCAAGAAACAAATCAAATAATGATGAATAATAAATGAACTGAAAACAAGCATACTGGTTTTGGATTATTATTCTATATATAAAAATGAAAATGCTTTAAACGGCTCAATACATTAATATAGGGAAAAGAGGGGCATAGTGAGCATCCTGTGCTTTGGGAATGGGTTTCTAGCTACTCGAAGCAAATTAATTGGTAGTTGGGTTAATCTCATATTAAATCTTCCATTTGCATGGTTTGAAATTTAAGGTGGGTTGCCATCTGCTCACTATGCTCAATATCTAGTAAGAAAATAGCCAAGGTTGAAAAATTCCTAACTTTTTTTTTCGTGGATGTGGCATTCGGGGAAATGTAGCACAATCCTTATCCTTTTAATCGCATGCTGTTCTTCCGTTTGTCTTAATTTCGGGGTTATGGTCATTCGGGGTAATGGCCATTCGGGGTAGTAGGACATTCGGGGTAGTAGCTTTCGGGGTAACGGCGTTCGGGGTAGTGACATTCGGGGTAGTGACATTTGGGGTAGTGTCACAGAATCATCCCGAACACGTTGTTCTTATGGTTAATTATATTAAGGATATCCAAAACAAATTGAATTACAACAAACGGACGTCTATTGGTAATATGATGTCCTCTTCGACGTGATCGTTGGAGAAAAATAAATGTAAGAATCAAAACTTTTTTTTAAATAAAGCAGAGGCATTCCACGAAGGTTCGCAAATCGATCCTGACTGATCATTTCCAATTACGCTGAAACTTTGCACAGTTGTTCTTTTTTAGTAAGGATGCCAATTTGTGTTATCAGTTCTTCAAATTGAATCACGACTACTTTTTGAAAAGGGCCTGTGTAAAAATAGTACTAATGAGTTTAAAAATATATATTACCGAAACGCTTTGTTCGATTGATTTGGTGTTCTCAGCAAAGATGTAGATATTATTTTGGCAATTGTGTTAAAAATATACACTGTAAAAAATTTCGTTTGTTCCAATGAAAAAAATTATATTTGTTACTAAAAAAGTTAATTTCTCTAAAAGTACAAGTTCGCTTTAAACCTTATTGAAGCTCATAATGTTTGCTACAAACTGGCAAAGTTTGGTGATGGTAAACTCAAAAACAAAAAAAGTTATGGTTTTTTTAAATTTTCACGATTTTTACATTTTCATTAAAAACACATGTTTTTTAACCGTGAATTGCATTTTAATTTTACACAACTTTCTCCAAGACACCATAGCAATCAAGCAAGCCGTTTTTGCAATGTTAAAATGTTTATTTTATAAGCGCTTTTCTACACAGGTCCTATTGGAAAAGTAGTCGGGGTTCGCTATTACAATTTGTAATAGCGAATCCCGACTACTTTTTTATTTTCAAATTTCAACTTAAATCCACAAAATACATTTTTCTGCTCTTTTTTACTTTTTTTATTCGGAAACCTTATGGACAGATTATACATAATTTATTTTCATTGTAATACACTTACTTTCTATTTTTATTTACATCACTTATTAAAAACATTGAATTTTTTGGCATCATTATCATTACAGTTTGGCTTTAATTTCATTTTCTGAAACAGGAATGAAAGAATGAAACTTTTGAGTTCCTAGAATTATTTTTGCATTATTATATTGCTCGTTGAGGTGTAAAGCCATACTTTCGTATTCCTCTGTTGTAGCAAAACTAAATGATAATTTTGTTAATTCTTCTTCTTTTCGATTATTTGCCCAATTATGTTCACGTTCTTTGGGTAAACTTGCTCTAGTAGCCATGCGTTTTATTGTACCTCCAATAGCGTCACAAGGACCTTTCCCATGTGATGTTGCAAAGAAATGCCATTCGGCTTCAATTCCATACTTTGATTTAAATTTAATGTTTTAGGCTAGCACACAAGACGCGGCTCCATCGGACATAAAATAAATCTTGTTGATATTTTTACTTTGGTTAATGCGTAAAAAAAACTTATCATTTTAGAAATAAATAAGTTAACAGCCACTGAGTCATGCCTTAACTCTTCAGAAATTATAATAAAACTTAAATGTTTAACTTACATATTTTCTCTGAAATATATAACAAATGGATGAATGGTAGCTGCTTGTTGGACATTCTAGTGATGAGACTGAACTTCATCATGTAAGGGAAATGTTGACTTCGGCAATACCTTAACCTATTATTGTCAGGGGGGTAAACAAGTCCTAGAGCACTCAAATTTGGCCAATAGATGCTCTGAAACACAATGTATCCTCATGCCAAAATTGAGCTCTCAAGGACGTTGCTTACCCCCCTGACGATAATAGGTAAAGGTATTGCCGAAGCCAACATTTCCCCTAAAACAAAGCTGTAGTTTTCGGAAAAATCGCAAGTAACTAAAAATTCACCTTCTCGCAAATTATTTCGTGTAGTTTTCAAAAAATTAGATTGCTGTGTTTTTATGAAATCATGTGGTATCAAACTTGTCAATTTCAGGCAGAAAAATGAAACAAACTCGACTGCAGGCTTTACAGTAGTTTCTTAATCACATCTATCCGTAGTAACCCACTGTTCAAATGAAAGCTGATGAATGCATTTTTCCTCTAATTGTTTTAATAAAAATGTTTTCTAATGCGGAAGAGTCTGGACAATCTTCACAACACCGTAGATAGCAATATGTTGTCTTGTTTTCACAATGTAGGCTGTCAGTGAACGTTTTTACATCATTTAAATGGTTAAGCTTTTTCAAACTGTGTAAAATTAGATTGATGTTTTCATGCGTTGTGCACACGCAAACATTGTGGGTTCCAGAGCTGGTTAAAAGTTTACATTGCTTAGGGCGGATTTTTGCAAATGAAGATAATCCAATTTTTACATTGCAGTGAATTTCATTGAATCGTTTATAAGCTTCTCTCAAAGTCATCATTAGTAATCTTTTTTGAATGGCTTGTCGTTTTCTTCCTTTCTGCACAGACACATAAAATTTATGACTGCCAATTTTGTTTCATCACATTTTAATACATTACAAAAACGGCTTGCTTGATTGCTATGGTGTCTTCGAAAAAGTTGTGCAAAATTAAAATGCGATTCTTAAAAAAATATACACGGTTGAAAAACATGTGTTTTTAATGAAAATGTAAAAATCGTGAAATTTCAAAAAATCCTAACTTTTTTGTTTTTGAGTTTACCGTCACCAAACTTTGCCAGTTTGTAGCAAACATTATGAGCTTCAATAAGGTTTAAACGTAAATTGTACTTTTTGAGAAATTAACTTTTTTAGTAACAAATATAATTTTTTTAATTGAAACAAACGAAATTTTTTACAGGCACCAAATCAATCCAACAAACCGTTTCAGCAATATATGTTTTTCTAACTCATTAGTACTATTTTTACACAGGCCCTGTTAGAAAAGTAGTCGTGATTCAATTTGAAGAACTGATAACACAAATTGTAAACTTATAAGATAAATAAAATAAATAAATGAAATACCCATGCGTTTTTATTTGCATCTTACATTTATTACTTTCGATCGTCTTTAATAATAATAATTTGTACATAAACCTTTTCGTTGAATATATTTTCATTTGATGAACTTTTGATTGGCATGTTTTTATATGTGCGTTTTTCGTCATTCGAAAATAGTTTTGCTGATATTTTATTTTCGGAAATCGGAACAATACAGTGATATTTTCTTGTAGCTGGGATCGTTTTGGCCTTTTCAAAAATGCTTTTCCATTCTGCAGCAGTTCGTATTCCTTTTGTGACACAAAACAAAATGACATTTTTGTTAAATAATCATTACTCTTCTGGTTAGCCCATGCATATAACTCTGCTGTACTTGTGATTGGATGTTCGTGTTCTACAGCCACACTTGCGTTCCTTGCCATTCATTTTAATGTGCCACCAATCGCGTCACATGGTCCCTTGCCATGCGAAGTTGCAAAAAAGTACCATTCAACTTCAAACTTCAACTTCGTTTTAAATTTACAAAGACTTGCAAAATTTTTGCAATTTTTATATTGGGATGCAGCTCCATCAGACATAAACATCGCTTTTTTTACTTGTATTTTTGTTTGCAAAAAGGTCAGTAATTTTGAAATAAATACTTGCACCGCTATTGTATCGTGTTTTAAAACTTCAAACGATCAAACTTAAATTTTGAATTATACCTGATTCTGAATAATAAATGCAAAAAAGATAGCTTGTTGATTATTCCAGTAACTACTTTGGGCAGCATCTTGAAGAACAACTATTTTCGGAAAAATCACAAATTATGACAACTTCTCCATTTTTAAGAGTATTTTTTTGTATTTCTCTAGTAAAACTAGACTGCTGAGTTTTAATATAATCATGGGATACCAGTTTTTCCAACTTTTCGCAAAAATAAGGAACAAATCCATCTACTGGTTTTAAAAGATTCTTTAAACTACATCGATCAGTTGAAACCCATTGTTCAAAACATATTTCAGACATACCCTGTTCCTCGAATTTTTCTGAAAAACTTCTTTCAAAATCTGAGAGACCTGCAACGTTCGCATTCGCGGAGATAACAATGTTTAGTTCTGGATGATGAGCTGAATAATATTTCTTCAAAATAATGGTTGAAATCTTTTTCGAATGAATATTTTCTAAGACAATGAAGCATTAAATTAATATTTTCATGGATGGTACAAACACAAATATTGTGAGAACCTGAACTACCAAGTAATTTGCAATGCTTTGGTTTTAGTGCTGCAAATGAACTAAATCCAATGCTATTTTTACTAACTTCTTGAAATTTAATAAAAGCTTCTCGCAATGTACAAACTAAAAGTCGCTTTTGAATATGAATCTTCTTACCTTCCTTCTTCACTGAAACGTAATCGTTTAGTCCTGGCGTGGCTCTGCTTAAAGGGTGTCCACGATGAAATTGCCACACACAAAATTGATTCGCAAAATTCGAGTTTTCATCCGATTGCCATCAAATTTTCAGGGATTGAGAAATAACTATTAAACTTCATTTTACCATTTTACTCGTATTTTATTTACAGTCCATACGCAAATGCCCGCACCTTGGCCTTAACCCCGGCCATAAGATTCTGCACAACCTGTGAATCAACCGTTTTTTGCATGTAAACCCATACTTTCTTCAGTTCCTCGACTGTCTTCACTACCTTAGGTCGTTTAAGAAGGTGCTGCTTCATAATCGCCCAGTACTTCTCGATGGGGAGGAGCTCCGGAGTGTTGGGAGGGTTGAACATTTTCGGCACGAAATTGACCTTATTGTCCGCATACCACT